ATTAATCATAATTATTAATTAGAAATTTGACAAATATAAATATATTTCATTGAAGCACTTTTATAGCTTTAAATCATAACACTCACTGAAAGGAAATGTAAAGAAATTATATCTGCTCGAAAATTAGGCAAGTCATATAGGCAAATTGCCAAACTTGTTAGATGTGATCCCAAGACAGTTGGAAATATGCTAAACAGACTTGAAAACCCATCTCAAATATTACCAAATCGTCGAGGAAGACCACCAATCTTAAACGAATTGGCACAAGATCATCTATCACAACTTGTTTTAAGTAATCACTGTATAACTAAAAGACAAATTCAAGCTGCATTGGAACAGCAAGAAGGCAGAGTAATAATAATTTTTAATTTAAATTTTTATTTATTTATTTATTTTATTTTTTTTTATTTTTTAAAATTTTATGTTTTAGATAATTTCTCAAAGAACTATTAGTTGTACTCTTCGCAAAGCTAACCTGGTCTCATGTGTTGCCTGCGTAAAGCCTTTTATTAGTGATAAAACTAAAAAAGAGCATAAAGATTGGGCAGAAAAGCATCTTAATTGAACAACTACTAACTGGAAGAATGTTCTCTGGTCAGATAAAAAGTATTTTACTTTAGTCCATTCTAATCCATATCAGCATGTATGGAGGAGGCCATATGAAGAATTTAATGATGATTGTCTTGTTCTAGCTATCAAATCTAAAGGGATTATGATGTGCGGATGTTTTTCTTGGTGGGGTCTCAGCCCTTTTATCTGTCTTTACAGTAGTGTCACAAGCGAATCCTATCGTAGAATGCTTATTCATTATGCCATTCCGAAGCTTCAGGATCAATATCCTAATGGTAATGGGATATTTCTACATGATGGTGCCTCAGCTCATAGAGGCAATATTGTTAAAAACTATCTAGCAAATAAGCATATTAAAATATTTAAATGGCCTCCATATAGCCCAGACCTTAATCCTATTGAGAACTTTTGGTCTGAGATTGAAGAGAAGCTTCGAAAACGTCGTCCAAGACCCGGAAACCTTAATAAGCTTGAAAGAATGGTTAAAGAAGAATGGGAAGCATTGTCTCAAAATTATTTTAAATATCTTGTTGAAAGTGAAGTAGACCGTGTCAAAGAAGTCTATAATAATAATGGTGGTCATTCACATTATTAATTTTAGGTGGTAATTATACTAAGAACTTATTTGAATATATATAGTATAAATATTGTATGTATAAAGAATATTTGCTAAATTAGTATAATAAATATTTGCTAAGTGTTAAAATAACCTGTTTAAGTTTATAAATAGGTTAATTTAATTTTTATTGTATTCGCGCATTTGAATTAGTAAGTATAATTAATTCTAAGTTTACCGGTTCTATATAAAAATTGACATGTGCAATATGTTATATATAAAGTAACGGTTGATGAAATCCTAAATTAAAAAAGTTAATTACATAAAAAAAAAAAAAAAAAAAAGTTAATATAAATTAAAATAAATAATAATAAATAATACTTATCACTTTAGATAGTTTCGCTTTGTGGTCTTATAATCATATGAATCAATTATGGATCATAAAACGATTCAACTAACTCATAACTTAAATATCTTATTTTAAGCATTAAATTCATGCATATAAATAGTAAATATTATAAACTTGGCTAGCTTAATGCTTATTATAAATAGTAAATAAACCTGTAACTTATAAATATTTACCTGCGTATATATCAACTAAGGCTGCAGGCACTATTATATACAAGAATAGAAGACTCTTCTATTTTTGTAAGTTATAATGCCTGCGGCCTTAATTTGTTTGTAGATGTGATTTGAGAAAAAAAAGCCACAAACAAGTTAAATTGGCAATTCTACCAACAAGATAACCTGTGGGTTAACCTACAGGTAACCACCCAGGTGTTTATAATTCAACCAGGTCAGAACACTATAATGCAATATTAAAATTAACTAGGAGGATTCTGAGT